TTGTTTTTAGATGCTACAAATGAGTGAAATCATTTGGTACTTGTCTTCCTCCACGTGGCTTATTTCACTGAGCATAATGCCCTCCAGCTCCATCCATGTTGTTGCAAATGGCAGGATTTCTTTTCTTCTTATGGCTGAATAATATTCCGTTGTGTGTATGCACCACATCTTTATCCATTCACCTACTGACGGACACTTAGGTTGCTCCCATATCTTGACTAGTGCTGTCATATTCCTTTCCTGAGGCATAGCACAGACTGACTTAACTGCTTGAAGGAAGAAAGGCAAAGGGGAAAAGGAAATTCCAGGGAGAAAATGGATCCTGGCCCACACGTGCACTCCTTCCTGGAGTTACTGACTTAGGCAGCTCTGTCCACCATGGACCCTGGTGTGGCTCTAGAACAGAGTGGTGGCCCATTGGTGCTCAGACATTCCTGCTGTCTTGCCTTGTCCGTACATATCTCCTCTCGCACATTTGGTCAGCACTTCACAGTCTGCAAAGCCCTTTCATGCATGTCTGTCCGTTAACACGCTTACAACCCTCCGACACGGCAGGGATGCTCACTCTTGTTTCCGTGTGAGGACACCGAGGCTCAGAGAGGTTGGGTGACGCTCCTGCCCCCCATGCTCCGGATGGAACCAGGTGGGGCTGGAGGCAGGGCTGCAGGGCCTGGAGGGGGGCAGGGTCATCCTCACTGACCCTCTGTGTCCTCCCCGTGTCCTCCAGCATTCGCAGCCTTCCTGGTGATCGCCTGCCTCCTGGATTTCCAGAGGGCCCTGGCGCTGTTTGTCTTCACTTGTGTGGTCCTTGCCCTCCTGGCCCATGGCCTGCTGAAGAGGCTGCTGGGCCCGAGGCTGCTGAGGTGGGCCCAGCCTCTGGGCAGCTCCCGCCTGAGCTTCTGGCTTAAGAGGTGAGTGAGCTCAGCCCCCAGACGGGGCAGGGGCGGCGGGCACCTTGGCGGAGAGCCTGTGCGTCAGCTTCTGGGTCACAGCCAGGGCTGGGTGAGGAGGGCCTCAGTCACTGTCCCACCAGAGGGCTCCTGTGCCGTGGGGGCCACACTCCACCCTGCTTGCTGCTGGGAGCCCCAGGGCAGGTGTTGCGGGGTGGCTCCAAAGGCAACAGCCATCTCTGTGGGGTCTGCCTACCCCCCTCTGATTCTCTGGCCCAGGTGTAATATGTGTCTACGACCCCTCAGAACAGGACTCAACAGTTTCCTAAATTCAGAGATCCCAGCCCCTCCGTGCAGGGAGGGCCCCTATCAGTGCCTCGGATCAGATAACCTGGGGCATGTGTGAGACATGCTCCTCCAGGGGACGCCCCTGGAGTCCATTCACAGGTGGGACTGGAGTCTAGGTATCAGTATTTTTAGTTGGCCCCCAGGGGATTCTGATGTCACCAGTCATGTCCTTGATCAATAGTTTGGGATCCCCTGGTTTTCAAGCTGGCTTCCTTAGAGTTCTGGAACCCTTGGAGATGCCATAGGTGAGAGAGAGATTGGAGAGGAGAACGTCAGACACCCCACACCCCATCCCCATTTCGCCCAGGTAACTCTATTTTATCCAATCTATAAACCAATGTTTACAGAATAATTTAGCTGGGAAAAAAAGGTTTCAATGGCTTAAAAAGGAGTCTGAAGACCACAGATATAGTTCAGTAGTCTATTGTGTTGATGAAGAAACTGGTACCCAAAGTTATCCAATAGCTAAGCCGGGGAGCACCGGGCACGAGCGTGTTTCCCAAAGGAGGATCCACATACCACAGAAGAACGATTTGATCCAGCCTCTGAACAAAGTGTTCATTTTATTCATAAATGTATTTGCTTCTACATTTGCCTTCTCCTTAATGAGCAGATTTATAAAAGGATTTATTTTTATAGTCATCTTCTCCTTACGACAAATCATTGATACTGGTTTTCCATTTGAGGTATTGGTAGAAAGCTTCCTTTAAAAAAATACATGCAGAAAATTAGACTTTATAAAAACCAAAAATGTTTTTGATTCAAGGGATACCACCAAGAAAATGAAAAGATAACCCACTGAATGGGAGAAAATATATGCAAATTAAATATTTGATAAGGGACAATTCAACAATAACAAGACAAATAGCCCAATTGAAAAATGGGGAAAAGATTTGAATAAACTTTTCTCTAAAGATATACAAATAGCCAATAAGCACATGAAAACATGCTCATTAGCCATTGTGAAAATTCAAATCAAAACCACGTTGAGATACCACTTCACATCTACTAGGAAGGCTGTAACAAAACAGTCAGATGATAACAAGTATGGGCAAAGTTGATCAATAGTTTGGGATCCCCTGGTTTTCAAGCTGGCTTCCTTAGAGTTCTGGAACCCTTGGAGATGCCATAGGTGAGAGAGAGATTGGAGAGGAGAACGTCAGACACCCCACACCCCATCCCCATTTCGCCCAGGTAACTCTATTTTATCCAATCTATAAACCAATGTTTACAGAATAATTTAGCTGGGAAAAAAAGGTTTCAATGGCTTAAAAAGGAGTCTGAAGACCACAGATATAGTTCAGTAGTCTATTGTGTTGATGAAGAAACTGGTACCCAAAGTTATCCAATAGCTAAGCCGGGGAGCACCGGGCACGAGCGTGTTTCCCAAAGGAGGATCCACATACCACAGAAGAACGATTTGATCCAGCCTCTGAACAAAGTGTTCATTTTATTCATAAATGTATTTGCTTCTACATTTGCCTTCTCCTTAATGAGCAGATTTATAAAAGGATTTATTTTTATAGTCATCTTCTCCTTACGACAAATCATTGATACTGGTTTTCCATTTGAGGTATTGGTAGAAAGCTTCCTTTAAAAAAATACATGCAGAAAATTAGACTTTATAAAAACCAAAAATGTTTTTGATTCAAGGGATACCACCAAGAAAATGAAAAGATAACCCACTGAATGGGAGAAAATATATGCAAATTAAATATTTGATAAGGGACAATTCAACAATAACAAGACAAATAGCCCAATTGAAAAATGGGGAAAAGATTTGAATAAACTTTTCTCTAAAGATATACAAATAGCCAATAAGCACATGAAAACATGCTCATTAGCCATTGTGAAAATTCAAATCAAAACCACGTTGAGATACCACTTCACATCTACTAGGAAGGCTGTAACAAAACAGTCAGATGATAACAAGTATGGGCAAAGATGTGGAGAAATGGAAACCCTTATACACTGCTGGTAGAAATGTAAAATGGCGCGGCTGCTTTAGAAAACAATTAGTTCCTCAAAATATTATCCATGGAGTTACAAAATAGCACTTCTACTCCTAGGTATATATCTGAGAGAAATGAAAACTTATGTCCATATAAAAACTTACACATAAATGTTTATAGCATCATTATTCATAATAGCCAACAAGGGGAAATAATCCAAATGTCCATCAACTGATAAATGGATAAATAAAATTATATATCCATATAATGGAATAATGTTTGGCCTATCAGTGAATACATATGAACCTACCCAAGGCTTAAGAAAGATCCACCCAAAAGGGTAAGAGGGAATAGTGCCTGGAAATCACACAAGGCCAGGAATAGTGTTTTTATCTGAACAGTCCGAGTGGAAAACCTCATAATTCACAGGGCATTGTTTAGAGTGCCGAAAAAGGTCTCGGATCGGTAGTAAGGAAAAATTAGCCGTAGGATAAACCCTGTATAGGCTCTGCCTAACAAATCTTAAAACAAAACTTGAAAGATTCAAACAGAGTATTAGTTAATCCTGCCACAACTTTAAGGTAGTAAGTATTCATGTAACTGAAATGTCCAAAGGAAAAGGAGGGAAAAAAAAATACTTGAAGAAATCACATCCAGAAAATTCCAGACTTAATGAAAATTATAAACCCAAAGATCCAAGAAACTCCATGAACCCTCAGCTCAAGAAACATGAAGGAAATACCAAGGGACGTCATAATCAAATTGCTGAAAACCAGTGATAAAGAAGAAATCTTAAAAATAACTAGAGAAAAAATAGATGTGCAGAGGAACAAAGATATGGATGACAGCAGGTGTCTTCTCCAAAATAATACAAATGAAAAAACCGTGGAAAACCAAAAACTAAATGAATAAATAAAAAATGTGTCAACTCTTTACCAGTGAAGGCCTTCAACAAAGGAGAAATAGGACTTCTCCAAATATACAAAAGCTGAAAAACTTTCAGCCATAAAAAAAGCAGTCCTGCCCTACAAGAAATCTTAAAGGAAATTCTTCAAACAGAAGGAAAATGATACCAGATGAAAATCTACATTGAAAAGTACAAAACTTTGCTGAGAGAAATTAACGAAGACTTAAATGGAGCAATATCTCAAATTCATGGATCAAAAGACTCAGCATTGTCAATTTGTCAATCCTTTTCAAATTAATCTACAGATTCTAATAATATCTCAATCAAAATTGTAGCATGCCTTTACTACGCTGATGGACAGTGACTGTGAAGGGGTATGTGGGGGGGACTTGGTGAAGGGGGGAGCCTAGTAAACATAATGTTCTTCTTGTAATTGTAGATTAATGATACCAAAAAAAAAATTATAGCATGCTTTTTGGGTAGAAATCGGTAAGATGATTCTAAATTTCATATAGAAATGCAAAGAACGCAGAATGGCCAGACAGCTCAGAAAAAGATGAACAAAGTTGATGAACCTAACTACCTGTCTTTACAACTTTTTATAAAGCTACAGCAGTCAAGACAACGTGGAATAAGCATCAGACAGATCAGTGGACTAGAACAGAGTCCAGAAAGAGATCTAATTACATATTGTCGATTGATTTTTGACAAGGATGCTAAGGCAATTCAGTGGAGAAAGCACATCCATCTTGAATCCCGCTAGAGCAGGGGAGTATGTACATGCAGAGGAAGGAGAGAGGAACAAACGAAATTTGATTCATGCCCCACATTATATAAACAATTGAAAGTGGGTCATAAACCTAAATGTAAAGCCTAAAGCTATAAAATTTCTGTAAGAAACTATAGGAGAAAAATGTCATGATCTTGAGTTAAGTAAGTTTCTTAGATACAAACCAAAATCATGATCCATTAAAAAAATTAATCAATTAAGCATCAGAAATAAGAACTTCTGCTCTTCAAAATACATGGTTAAGGGAACAGTCATGACTAGAAGTTTTGCAAATCATATATCTCACAAAGGATTTGTGTCCAGAATATATTGAGAACTCTCAAACTCAGTAATAAGGAAACCAACCCAATTTAAGAATGGGTTCAAGATTTTAAATACATGTAAGTGACAAATAAGCATATGGAAAGATGCTCAACATCCTTAGTCACTAGGGAAATGTAAATTAAAACCATAGACAGCTACATGCAGGAGAATGAAACTGGATTATTGTTTAACCCGTACACAAAAGTAAACTCGAAATGGATTAAAGACTTGAATGTAAATTAAAACCATAAAGAGATACTATCATATGCGTATTAGAATGACTAGAATTCAAAGAAGTGTTGGCAAAGACGTGGAGGAACTGGAACTCTAATATACTGCTGGTGGGAACGTGAAATCATGAAATCACTTTGGACAACAGCTAAGCAGTCTTCTAACAAGTTCGACCTGCCATATAATTGATCCATTCCACTTACAGTATTTGCCCAAGAGAAGTGAAAGTGTATCTCCAGATGAAGACTTGCGCACGAATGTTTGAATGTTCATAGCAGCCTTATCTGAAATAGCCAAGAAACTGGAAACAACCTAAATGTCCATCAGCAGGTAAATGTAAGTCATTGCGGTTTATCTACACGACGGAATAGTGCTCAGCAATGAAGAGGAATGAGCTGCTGACGCACGCAAAACCTGGATGAATCTCAAAATAATCACACAGAGCAAATAGACAAAACAAAAGTACCGTATGATTCCACTTATATAACATCCTACAAAATGCAAGCGAGTGACAGCAAACATCAGCTGCTGCCCGGGGATGAGCACAGAAGCAAGGAATTACGGAGGAGCATGAAGAAGCTCTTGAGGGTGGCGATACTGTCACTGTCCTAATTGTGGTGGTGATGGTTTCAAGGTGTGTACACACATCAAAACGTACCAAACTGTACCCTTTCAGCATGTTCCCTTTATTATATGCCAATCATACCTCTCATAAAGGTGTTAAATACATACAAAAAACCTCCCCAAACCTGTATTTAAGTTTTTGTAAAGTGAATTAACTTTAAGAAAAGCAGTAAGTAAAGAGATGTGCTTGGAGCACAGAGACACGGCAGAAATTATTCTTGTGGAGCTGGGCGATAGGAATTTGGGAAACACGGCCGGAAGTGGTGAACTCTGGCATTAACCAGCTTGAGTTCAGGTCCTGGGCCCGCCTCTCACCAGCTGGTGTCTGTGTAGAGAACCAGTTAGGAGAGAGAGCGGACTTGCTGCCTGTGTCTGGGTGAAAATCCCAGCTCTGCTATTTTCTAGATGGGTGGTGGTGGGCAAGCTGCTTAACCTGCCCGTGCCTCCGTTTCTTCACCTCTTAACTGGGGGCTGGACCCATGTGTCTCCCAGCCCCTGGCATACTTCCTGACACACAGTAGGTGCTCAGTGAGCACCAGCTGTCATTAGTAGTACCAGCGAGTTGACGACCAGGTTGGGGCTAGACCTTGAGCACCCAGTGCCCAGACCTGGACCCTCAGACCCTTCAGGCTGCCCCCTGGACAAGCCCAACCCAGCCCCAGGCGGCGAAGCATTGCTGGAAGGCTGCACCCAGTCCTGGGTCTCGGGTGCTGAGCCCAGCATTCCAGACTGTCATTGCTGCTTCTGGGCTTTTGGGGAGCAGGGCCCACGGCCCACAGGGCTGAGTCCTGGGACACGTGGGGGTGCCACCTCACCCTGGCAGGGTCAGAGTCCGCCGGACTGGGCATCCTGCAGCTGTGAGAGTTCCTTGAAGGAGGCATGTGCTGGGCGCCGTACTAAGCCCAGTAAGCACATTTTCCTATTCAGTCCCCTCAGCAGCCTTGAGAAATGGAGAGGTCTTTGGCTTCATTTTCCGAATGAGGTACTAGACTCAGAGGGACAAATGGTTTGTCTGAGGTCACACGGCGCTTTCTTCTCCCACCAGCCCTGAGCACCCTTTCTGGGGCCCCGGATGCTTCTCTGTCGGGCTGGCAAAAACGCTGAGGGCAGTGGCTTTGTGTCCCCTGCAGGGGTCTAGCCCTCGCTGCTTTTCTGGGCCTGGTCCTGTGGCTGATTCTGGACACCTCCCAGCGGCCTGAGCAGCTCGTGTCCTTTGCAGGAATCTGCGTGTTCGTCGGCTTCCTCTTTGCCTGCTCCAAGCATCACGGCGCCGTGAGTGCCCGGGTGTTGGGCCCGGAGGGGGCCTGATATGGGGACCCCTCCCTGTTCCATGGTGTGTTCACACCTTCCCCTGGGCTCCAGCCCAGCCTCCCAGACATCCTGATGCTCACCTGAGTTTGGGGATCGCTGCTAAGGATCCTTAAGTGCTGAAAGGCAGCAGCAGCCCTAGGAGTCCAGCTGCCCTCTGTGCTGGGGGGCGGCCACTGACGGGGTGGGTTGGAGCAGTTGGGAGCCCTGCCTCCAGAGGACGGATGCGGCAGATGGAGGTTATACTGGGGTCCACCTCAGGACCACAACTGCAGCCCCTCCCCCACCCAGCGATGACCAGGATCCAGCACATGCTCAAGGCTGGTCAGGTCTTACCTGGGTCCTTGGTTAGACCTTGCCCTGCTCCTGCCCACTGCCCCAGGCCCACTGCTGCCAAGAGCATGGCCCATTCTGAACTCGAGGGAGGACATGACAATCGGCAACAGACCCAGAGTTGTGGCTGGGTCCCATCCCCATCCTACAGATGGGCAGAGCTTCCAGAGCCCTCAGCAGTGCCATGCCCTCTGCCCTCACCCACCCTGACCCCTCGGGGTCCTCTGCAGAGCTGAGCTCACCAGGACCTTTCTGTGGGGTGGCAGGTGTCCTGGCGGGCTGTGGCTTGGGGCCTTGGACTACAGTTTATACTTGGACTCTTCGTCATCAGAACAGAACCAGGATTTATTGCATTCCAGTGGCTAGGCGGCCAGATCCAGGTGTGTACGTGGGGCCCAGCTGCCCAGGGCGTCCGGGGTTGCCAGGGAGTGGATGAGAGGGGGCACTGCTGGGGAGGTGGATGGTGAAGCCATAGCCAGGGATTGGACCAGGTTTTGGGGTATAAGTAGGGGCCCCAGCCTAGGGTACGTGGGGACCAGGCACGTGGCCCTTAGCAGTCATCCGTGATAGGGAACTCTTGGTAATTAGAAGTGCTAAAAAAAATTGAAAATGATTTACTTTGTGTATGTGTGTTTAAAATAATGTTCAGATTGTTGAAGTTATGCTTTTTTAATTCCATTTTTTAATTGTGGTCAATACACATAACAAAATGTACTATGTTAATCATTTTTAAGTGTCACTGAGTTTGTTCACATTGTTGTACAACCTTCTTGATTTACTTTTAAAGATATTAAATTTTCTAGGACACAAGGTCAATCCTATACCCCCGCGGCACCCTCTCAGTTTTCCCCATGCTCTTTTAGGGGAAGCACCCGGGGTGGGGCTCCGCACGCCCGGCGCCCGGCCAGGGGTAGCCGCGTGGAGGGGAGGCGGGCTCCTGCTCTGGCCACGTGCCCCATTGTGCAGATGGGGACCTGAGGCCTGGACAAGGGAAGGGACTGTCCCTGCAGTCCACAGTGCAAGTTTGGGACCTAAATACAGGTCCCCTGTAGAAGCGAGGCTGGATTTGAACCTCAAGGCCACGGGCCTGGGATGGGGACAGGAGGAGGCTGTGCCACTGGTGAGAGGGGCGTGAGCAGGGACAGAAGGCACCACCTCGGGCAGCCCTCTCCATGCGTCTCACTGTCTTGCTCCTCCATGATCTCTTCGTTATTGTTGTTCCCACAACCCTCATCTCAGAGTATGTCTTTAAAGTGTATTGAAAAGGTGTCTTTCCTGGAGTACGTGCTGAGAAGGAGGAAGTGCCCATGGTTGTGGCTCTAACCACTCACCTTGCTGGGCGGTGGTGCGGCCCCTCTGAGGCCAACAGCCGGGGCCTGGAGGGCCTGTGGCTTCTGTGGCCCTCTCCCCTGAGCTGCCAGGAAGGCCCGTGGAGCAGGTGAGGCCCCTGCAGCTCACCAGCCTGGTCCTGCAGCCGGCTTCCTCCGGCCTCATCCCTGGCCTGTCTGGGATGGTTTTTTCTTTCAGATCTTCCTGAGCTACACTGAGGCCGGCTCCAGCTTCGTGTTCGGGGAGGCTCTGATCAAGGATGTTTTCGCCTTTCAGGTCAGCTCAGCCCCTTCAGGGCCTCCAGCTCGGGGGTGGGCAGAGCAAGCCAGGAGGCCCAGCCTGGGGACGGGGACTGTGGGCAGAGCCCCAGCTGGAACCTCACGCATCTCAGGCCTCCAGGTCCTCAGTGGGGCCCTGGAGGGCTTCACCCGGCAGTATGGTTTTGGTATATTTTGTAAAATTTGCAAAACTAAGAAATTATCTGCATTCTTTTTCTAAAAAATGACTTCTCAAGTGATAGAATTACTGGGAGGCTGAGGACAAGGAGAGACAGTGGGGACATAAGATGACACCTGCTCCCATCCCAGCCCCCCACCTGCTTCAGGGACCCTGGACATCTACAGATCAGATTCCAGGAGCCCTTAGGCTCAGATGATCCTCTCACTGTGCTCTTTCTTCAAGGCCCCTCACAGGCCACCTCTGCCAGGAAGCCTGCCCTTCCAAGTTCAGCTGCAAGCTATAACCCCTGCTCTGCACCTCCGAGACCTTCAGTCTCTCTCTGCTTCTTCCTTCCTTCCTTGAACTTAAATCTATTGTGTGCCTACTGCATGCAAAATATTACAGGGGAAACTGAGGTACAGAGTCAGAGACCTCACTGTGTAGTGGTAGAGCCCCAACCATCATTTGATGGGCAGCCCGTGCTGAGTGTGCCGCGCCGGGGCCGCTTCGCCCTTCCGGGGGGAACTGTGGCTGTACTTCCTTCCCTGACTGGCGGCCTCAGCACCCGGATGCCCCCACCAGGGGGATCCCTGCCTTAGCCCTCCTCGGCCTGCCTTACACCTAAGTCACGTCGAGACCCTGAGGCCTGTTCCAGGCTGAGGCTCCACTTCCAAAGGCCAGATGGAGAGAGAGCCACCCGGGTCCCGCTCACCCATTAGCTGGCCCCAGTTTTCTGCTGCCATTTCCAGCCATGACACCACAGCTGGGAATGGGTGCCACCGCCCCATGTCCCCGACTGCCATCAGCATGGCACTGCTGTGCAGGATCCCAGGTTCTGGAAGCTTTTGCTTCTTGTCATTAGTCTGGCTGTTGTTCCCAGAGCTTCCCCACCCTTCTGCAAGTGCTGGGCCCTGGAGGCCTCCAGTCTGAGCCATGGGCTTGGCCGTGGACCTCTGGAATGGTGTTGAGCCAGGCGAGTCCAGACACGCCCAGTGCACACCTGAGCCTGACTCACGGCGAGACCCTCTTGTGGCCTTGGTGTCTGACCGCCTCTCTCCTGGAGACGCTCACTCTGCCCAGGGGCTTCTAGTAATGCCAGCCCTGGAGTGGGCAGGGGGCCAGGTTCCTGTCCTCCCAGGGGCCTCCGCACCCCAGTACAGATCTGTCTGTCCTGTTTCTCTGAGATGAGTGCCATGGAGGGGCACTAGGGTTGCCCTAACACCATCCCCCTTCTCAATTCCATTCCCAAGAAAGGGCCCCCCAGGGCTCAGGTGATCTCGCGTGTCCACCCAAGCAGAACAGCAGTCAGCAGCTTCTCACACCGTACAAGACAAACTACGGCACTGCAGTGCCCCCTCCCCAGGCAGCCGGGTTCAAGTGCACCCAGCGCAAAGGCGAGTCCCCGGGGAGTCATGTAGGCAGAGACTGTATGAACTAGGGACAGTGAGGATGACTCCTCGACGAGGTGGGACTGACATGGAGCTTTGGGACAGTAACGATCCGGGCATGAGGAGAGAGGCGGGGGGAACTTCGTGGGCAATGGCACAGAGGCGAGGAAGCGCCACTGTGTCTGAGGTGCGGGGCGTCGCTCAGCTGGCTGGGCTCGCACACCCTTTGAAGGAAAGTATGGCTTGGGGGTAAACTGCATGTGCGGTGGGCTGTATCTTGAGGGGTCTTAAATGCCAGGCTGAGCCCCTTGGTTTTGTCTAGCAGAGGGTTTGAGGAAGGGGGACTTGACAGGAGCTTTGGGGTGGTTATCATGTCAGTAGTATGTAGGAGGGGCTGCAGGCTGGGTGCTGGGGGAGACGGACCAGTGAGGAGGCTGCCTCGGGGCAGGGAGGGTGAGGGGGCAGGAGGGCCCGTGTGGAGTCCACCGCTTAGCCCTGCAGGCCGCCGCTGTGTCTGCTCTTGGCCAGTTGAGGCCAGGCCGGGCCTCACTCATCCGGAGTCTTCACTGACCCCGAGCCCGGTGATGCCCCACCCAGTGCCTGGTGCCCTGCTCTGTGCAGAAGAAATGGAGGCTCTTTGGTATGGGTGGGAAGTCCCTCTGTGCCTGAGGGGAAGGGCTGGCTCTGTGAGCCCCGACGGGGGGTCGGGCCCCCACCCAGCCAGCCTCTCCTGCCTGGAACCCCCCCTCCACCCTGTGGCTCTGTGGCCCTGAGCAGCTTTCCCTTCAGCCTCAGGCCTGGCCTGCCCAGGGAGGCCAGAGCTTCCCGACGCTCTAGGGCCAAGATCTACTCACAGGCTTTGCAGCAAGGTCCAGGACCGCTGGGGACCATTCTGTCCCCTCTGGATTTGAGACACTGGTGGGACAGGGAAGAAAAGCTCCGGGAGAAGGAAATCCTAACAGCTGCTAGTTATGGGGCAAAGACTGTGTGCCAGGCACCAATTCGCTGTGGGGAAAACTCTGTCCTGACCCCATTTTACAGATGAAGCTATTGAGGCTCAGAGTGGTTGTTGCATGCACAAGGTCACAGAGCTAGTGAGTGTTGGAATAAAGATCGGAACCCAGGCCCAGAGCTTTTGCTTATTAGCTTCTGTGCCTTAAGATCAGAGCCCTTTCCTTGGTAGGCAATGGAGACAAAGAGGCCCCAGACCTTAGATGTTTGTTTTCCCCCTAGTTTAAAAGGAAAAAAGTATTCTGTAGCACTATTTGGTGGCAAGTGAGAGAAACCCACTTGAAACTCACTGCAAAGTGAGGAGAGATGAAGGGGTGGGTGTTCCTTGGCTCACAAACTGGACGGCAAGGCTGGAACCAGTGCCCCAGAGCTGCCCAGCTTGCAGCCCTGCATCTCTGCTTAGCCCAGGGTGCAGCTTCATTGGCTCGTACACCAGATTTCCCGTGACCCCCATTCTTACAGCACGTCACCCTTGAATGGGGGAAGCTCTTCCCTTCCAGCCCCAGTTAGACAATCCGGGGGGCAGGTTTCAGATCTGGCTGCCTTGGGTCATGTGACCATTCTTGGGCCCATGGCCAGGCCCAGGGCAGTGGGAGGGACTTGAGCCGTGTGCTCCTGGCCAGAGCTGGGGGTCAGGTGCTCTGGTGAAGTGGAAGCCACACTCAGAAACTCCCCATTGGAAGGAGTGCTGCCTAGAAGAGGCAGGTACTGCTAGTCCCCCGTGTTAGGAAGCCAGGCAGACACCTCCCGTTAGGGCCTGTGACGAGCTACATTTCCGGGGTGGCCCTGTGTTCTGAGTGCGTGAGTGTGGTCTAGTCTCGGAGCAGGGCCCAGCCTGGAAGGAAGAACAGTGGACTGGATCGTTCGATGTTGTCCCTCCCAGTTGGAACATGGGGCCACATTTGGGAGTCTAGGCTGTGCTTCTTGACCAGATACTTAGCTCCTGAGTTAGTCAGTTGTAAGAGAAACAAAACTCAAAGTGACTTAAGCCAAAAACAAAACAAATCAAGATTAGTTCCTATGATTGAGAAATCTAGGGGTTTCAGTTCCTGCTGGATCCAGGTGCTCACCATCTCCTGGGATCTGCCTTGTTTATATCCTGTTCTGTATTGTCAGTACTGGCTTTAGTCTTAGTCTTGGAGACAGTCTTCTGAGGTAGTGAGGTAGTGGCAAAGCGGTGCCAGGCTTACATCCAACCAACTCAGCAACCTGAACAGACAGAGAGAAAGAGCCAGCGAGTGAGGCTGTTGTCCACTAGCTTCAGCAGGAAATCCGGGAGTGGGCCATCCCATGGCTTTGATTGGTTAAACCTGAAGCCTGTGGGCTGAGAGTGGAGGTGGAGTAGCTTCCCAAAGGGAAATTAAAGCTTTGTTATGAAAAGAAGTGGAGGAAGGGGCGCTGGGCAAGCAGCTGCTGATCCCAGAGCCCACACCCAGCTTCTCCCCCACGGCAGCCCTGCATGCATCCCCTGGCTTGCAGCTGCATCCACCCCCTTCCTCTTGTCTTTCTTGGCTTTGTGGAAGAATGTGTGCACACCTGCTACTTGCATCTCTTTCCAGGTCACCTTTTAGAACCATGGATTTATAGATGGTTGGACTTCCAGGGAGCCCACTGCCCTTCGGGTCTCCCCTTTATGTCACAGGTGGTCACACCACAGCCTGGAGAGGAGCGGTACTGGGGCACCTTGCCCAGGGAGGTGGGGCAGAGCAGGGCTACTAGCACCAGTTATTAGACTTCCAGTCAAGCAAGTTTTCTTCCTTGCGCTGTAAGAAGAGGCAGTGATATCATGTCTCCCTTCCAAATACCAAAAGCATCCCTAATAACAATAATGATACATTAAAAAATATATATTAATGGTTGCTAAAGACTTTGAGATTGAATGCAGTCATGAGAGAAAAAACAAGTGTGGAGTAAAACTCTGTCCTGACCCCATTTTACAGATGAAGCTATTGAGGCTCAGAGTGGTTGTTGCATGCACAAGGTCACAGAGCTAGTGAGTGTTGGAATAAAGATCGGAACCCAGGCCCAGAGCTTTTGCTTATTAGCTTCTGTGCCTTAAGATCAGAGCCCTTTCCTTGGTAGGCAATGGAGACAAAGAGGCCCCAGACCTTAGATGTTTGTTTTCCCCCTAGTTTAAAAGGAAAAAAGTATTCTGTAGCACTATTTGGTGGCAAGTGAGAGAAACCCACTTGAAACTCACTGCAAAGTGAGGAGAGATGAAGGGGTGGGTGTTCCTTGGCTCACAAACTGGACGGCAAGGCTGGAACCAGTGCCCCAGAGCTGCCCAGCTTGCAGCCCTGCATCTCTGCTTAGCCCAGGGTGCAGCTTCATTGGCTCGTACACCAGATTTCCCGTGACCCCCATTCTTACAGCACGTCACCCTTGAATGGGGGAAGCTCTTCCCTTCCAGCCCCAGTTAGACAATCCGGGGGGCAGGTT